GAATCTTTATTTTTTATATCTAAAGATATTCATGAAATGGAGAGATAAAGAATAATTCTTAAGCTAGCTTCGATTTAATCTTGTATTTGTCACACGAACGCCGAATGCAAAGGACAATTTGCACGAGAACGGACAATATTTGATCTAAGGAAGTAATATGTCTAGTAGCTTCCAATATCAAAGAGCCCCGGTCCGTCGCAGCCAATGCGATTTCAATTTTATAGAGGGCGGAAAGACGCGAGGTGGCGACGCGACAAGAGGTGGCATCGCGGACTCGGATGTGCATGTATTTATTTGCTGAATTCCGAATAGCTTTCAATATGTAGAGACGGCTGTCGATCTCCTCCAATATCGCATTGCAAATGTCACACCACCATTGAATGCCTGCTGGGGATTGCCGCACGCATTCGCCGGCTCTGGTGCTTAGAATACGATATGTCACTCGTTAATAACTTATTGTAAATCAATCGCCATAAATTTATCATCGGTCCGGTTAAATCTGAATACTATATTGAAAACATATTGATTCTATTTTAAAAGAAATTTGTAAAAAAAAGGCTTTACGTTAAAACAAACATTCCGAAATCAATCACTGACTGGGTTGAATTTATGTCTTCTAATCTAAAGGAATTATTGCTAAGAGTGCAAGAGTACTTTATATCAGTATAAAGAAGTGTGACAAGCATTGGCATATACTGGTGAGCAGCGTCAAAAGCCACAATGACCTATAGCGCGGCGACGCACGATGATAGATGAGTGAATCGAAAAACATATCCGTAATTGAGATTTCTATTACTGAAATTGAAGGCGACCGATCCGTTTTTTCCATGTTTGTTTACATAATGTGAGTGGCGTCAGCGCGCTATCGCATTTCGGAAGCGCGGCCGGACGTCAATTTGTATATTGTCATTATGAAAGCGCGAGCAAAGTTTAGCGGCTACCATCCATCATGACGTGACGGCCGCTCGCTCCGATATCGCCTAATACGTATTGATTTCCCACTTAGCGTTTTTCTTGGGAAGCTCGGCGCTCCACCCTTCCGTCCGGCGCGCATTAACGAGCTGTTTGTCCTCCACTCGTATTGTGTCGACACCGCTCCACCGCTCGCCTTGTCTCCTCCTCTTGTACTCCGACTTACAACTGTCTTCGGTTCTTACGTATCTTTAACTATTGTCAACAAGATAAATAAATGTTATAAGAAAATGTGACTTACATTGTCTTATGTACAACGATAATTATGATGCATGAATTGGGGCCATGAAGTATGTTTTGAAATTTTTATCAGCTTTCATACTTTAAACACAGATTTTATGAACTCTGTCAAATTATTTTGAAATTATCGGAACTTTTGTAAACTATCAAATATTTAATATTAATATATAATATATTCATGGACTGTATCTTTATATACTTATTTATTAATCAATTAAAAGTTTGAGAAGTATATAGTAAAAATGTACATATGTTACATGTAAATGGCGAAGAAAAAGATTGCGTCACCGAGGTCCCCTGTGGGGGCGGGCGGCGAGAACAATGGTTTCGGTTCTCACACGTGTGGAGGATTATTTGCATTCGGAAATAAAGAGAGGAATGATAAAAGAAAGGCGCGAGCGAGGTTCCGCCGCCTCGGGCGGGGGGATGGGAAACTAGGAAGTCGGGGGTCGGGGGTGGCGCCTTCGAGGGGGATGGGGCTCGTTACGCGAACAATGGAGAAATAATGTACAGATTGCAGTGAGCGATGCGCCCTGCGCGACTCAGGTGTCTTAGTTCTGCACGGACCTCACGCCTATTGTACTGAAGCCACCCATCTCGTATCGACTTCGTTGAATATAAATAGGTATCTCTGATAGACTTTCTTAACCGACTTCAATGGGAGTTTTATGCGAAGAATTAAACACAATTAAATTTAATAGTAGATTATCATCACATTTTGGCACTCCCTATAGTGCGTTAATACAACACAATTTTAAGAAGTACTCAAACTTGTACGCACATCCACTTGAAGCATTTATATGTTGTATTATTTGTGACTGTGACAAAGCTTCCTTACAATATTTTATACTACTACTATTTATTTAACAGAAAGCTTCTTTTCTCTACTGCGCTCCGCATTACTATTTTATAAACCTAATATAGTCCACTTGGTGTACAATAAACACTACATATCCGTATTATGTTCATGCATCGATTCTTAAAAAGGAAACGTTTTTAGTGGGCGATTATTGTATCCGAACAAGAGTACTTGCAGTGCTAACCAACTACAGATCAACGTGTGAACATTGTATTTAATGAGGGCGTAACGGGCGCGGCGATGAACGACGAGGCCGGATCGCTTAATAAAGGATGCCTTGATAGGAAGCGCAAGCAATCACAACAACAATCACCCTATCCTCGCATGACACCGAAAACGTCCTCGTTCATAAGTATAAATTAATCCATTTAGAGGCGGGCGACGGGCGACGGGCACCGACTGCGCCCGATTAACGGAAGCGTCTACTTAACTAATTTATCCCCGGGTGGTTTTAACAGAATGGATAGCAGTGATTACGAGCGGTGGCGCGGTCGTGTGACGGTCGCCGCGCGGCCACCAGCAGGAAATATCAACAACACGATGAATATTAAATTTACCAACACATCGATGTGCTTGTGAATCGAACGATTGTTTTGCTACACTTCAGCAGCAATGTACAAGAAACATACGTGAGACGTATGACCGATTGGTTTAAAGGGCTGCAGAACGATTCTGCATCGGTAAAACTTCCTACAAATGGACTGATGAATGTCTTTAGGAGGCACTTTCTAATCAGCGACAGATATTAAAGGGAGCCTACTCCCAATATAGAGGGTGATCATGATGTAATTGCTTTTATACGAGTACATGAATCGGACAAAAGCGAACAGTATATTTTATTCCCAACATTCAAACTGTGTCAAGTTTCCTTCTTGTAATAATTTCATACTACATTTGTTGCATATTTAAAGTTGCATTAATTGAGTCAGCTCATCTGACGCGCGACAGCATCCTGACTACGATGCCAAAGGAAAACGCCGTTTAATCCATTAAGGCAATGAAATAATTAACAGTTAACAACTCTTTAGATTGATTTGATAGCTGTCCACTACTTAATTAAGAGCTTATGGAAGTACTCGCTCATATAAAAGGATGAATAAAACTAATCTGCAATTGTATTTTTTCCATTTTGCTATCACTAACACTTTTAAACTAATATGATTATTATAGTACTTATACTTTAAGATAGCAAAATTGAAGTTATCCAACAAACCAGCGACATTTTAATAACATGGATCAAATAGAACAAAAGCATGTGGACCGAGCACTCGACAAGATGAAAGTTAAAAGGGTCGCGGGGGGACGTCGAGGGCGGCGCAGGGGGAGCGGGTTGAATGTCTTATTCCCTCCACAATTCAGAGGTATTTCGTGTTTTTCATACGCAAATATATCCTCGTTATGGAGGCGCACGTGAGGCTGCGATTGCGTGCGCGCTATGGAATACCTTTGCAAGGCCGAGCTACGCCCAATCGTCGTCAAAAAACACAAAGAGCAATCATCCGAAATTTCTGTTAGAAACTATGTAACTCTATGTAATTTTTTAATAATGAAATTTAATTTAATTAAAAATTGTATCAGATTGTAATAGACAGCAACCCAAATTATTGTTCTTCTGATTTTATTTTTATTGCAGGATGCTTGCCCTATTTATTTTATGTGAAGTATTTTAAGGAAGCAATTGTATGGAAATACTAATTTAATAAATTACTTTGTTTTTCACATTTGTTTCACAACTTTTTCTAATAACAATCAACTGCAGATGTTTTTATCCGACTTCCAAAATTAACAAAGTTACAATATCATTTTTTGTAATAAAACAGTACTTACCTTATAATTTAATTCCTTTATGTCACACACAATTTTTTTTAGTTTTAAACGGAGGACAAATAAAAACATCACATTCATCACTATTTTTCCATTTAGAAAGCCACACAATGTTTTTTAGCTTTTATTGATGTTTACCATACCAGAATTTCCCTTCCCTGCAAGTTGAATTTCCCTTCCCCACTAATTAAATTTAATATAGAGTTAATATCAAATATGATAAAATTTAGTGTGATGAAACTCAACTCCGTCAAAAATGAATAATAAATTCTACATTTGCTTGTGTGCTTGATCCATTGTTATGAACAGTTGCAGAATTAATTAACTATAATCACAGCTCCTCACCTTCCATGTCTCTATATATAAAGGCGAGGAGCGTAACCAAAATAAGTTGTATCATGTTAATAGCAGGGAAAAGAGAATGAGAGGAAAAAGAGCAAAGAGGTAAAGGTTTGCATTATGGATGTCACATGGACAGGTGACATGACGAAGAATATGACTAAAATTAAATATAATGAACAACAATTTTGAAGTCAACAGCCAATTGTAAACATACATAGTCTAAGGGCATGTGATTATAAAGTACCCCAATATTATAAGTCAAACTTGGGTAAGCAAGATCTAGATAAGCAAGCAATTCATGGTACTGTCTTGCCGGACAACCTTCGTGAGCGAGAAACTGGGGTTTGGGAGAAAGCAAAAAATATATAGTGGACTTTTGAACTCATTTACCTAGATTCAACTCTATTTATTATGAACATTTTGGTATGAGTATAAGGAAAAACTAACTTGTTTTTCATTTAGGAAATACCCAACACACCAAAACTTTAACCGGCAAACTAGTAATAAGACCGTAATTTATATGTATGTTTTGATAAATAACGCCAAACCTTCAAGAGAGTAATTTTAATCTAGTCTAAACTTCTATAACGGAACTAATACAGGATCGTTTTAGGGTTTTTGTAACGCCACAGTGCCTTTTACAAATCTTAAATATTTCACTTAAATCAATGACTTATTTACTAAAAGGATTTGAGAAAGATTCCAAATAATGTTTCAAGTAGTATCCCACTAATGTAAACAAAATCAGTTGTTTAAATCTTACCTCTGTTTGGTCAAATTCCTCCAAAAGTCTGTCATTCCTTTGTTTTTCATAAAGAGCACGAGCCAATGCGCTTCTAGGACGATATAAACCATTAACAGCCATTACTTGACTCTTTTGATTCTCCACTAAGCTCAGTCTTAGATTCTTATATGAATAATGTTTTTCTTTTGGACAAATATCTTGACATACTTTGTTGAGATAACAATAAAAACTGTCTTTGTTATTTTGATCAGAATTGTACAAAATTTCTTGGCAAGTATTAAATATTAAATTGGAAAAAAGGAGGTAAAACAATAACATTAAATGTTTTCTGTCGTTTAGGTTGTCAACGTTTTAAAATAACCTCCAAAATGTGGCACGCTCAATAGTTTCAGATATGAATACATTTGTACAATGGATATACTTTATACAAATAACTAGTGGTTTTATACTATTACTACACGGAATTAGAAAAATTCGTAATCCACAATAACTTTATTGTTGATACTTGATACGTCAATGTCACATGTGTTTTGCGATAAGCGAAAGAGGGCGCGCTATGAACTGTCAAGAAAAAACCGAGGTATGACACAGATTATGAAAAAATATTGCGCGATTTTTTTAATTACTATACGCGTTAGAACATTGGAAAGGTTTTAAGTTCTACGTTAGTGAAAAGACACAGATATCATCAAACGCAAAATATAAATCTGATTGTATTTTAATAGGAATAGCAGTCTAAAATTGTAATAAAAATACGGAAAGTTATTTAATATTAAATACAAAAGGAAATCAAGTGCTAGTAAAAAAGTTATTGCTAGTAAAAAATATACCAACCATTTGTTGTTTGGATTCTATTGATGCCCTCGCAACAATTTCACGAAGAACGTTATTCATCATATTTACTGCTTTTACCAATTCACCGAAGTATCAAGGAGTAAACTTCTAATTATAAACACAATTAAACAACGTTTTAAACTATAAGAAAGCACAGTTGCTTGATGGAGGCATGTGACAGTACTAGAGTACTTTACGGTATATTGTTTGGTGAGAGGTGGGAGATTTTATTGATTTATTTATAAAAAGTTGAGATCTAAATCCCGGTTCGGCCTTGGCCGTGACCGGCCATCGTCCGTTCGCCGCCACAGCGCTGCGCTTGATCACCTCTATAATTTCGATAGAATTAACAATCAAAAATTTAGATTGTCATACGTGACCCATATTTGCCTATAGGTTCTTAATTTTTTACTTTAAAAAGTATTTTTGTTACACAATTTTTGTTTTGTTTTTTAAGCAAAATAAAATTCATTTTGTGACCTGTTTAATTTTTTATGATATAGGTAAGCCCATAAACCTATCTGGCCCGGTGGCAGTGACGCTGTTATCGTTACACATAAAAAAATTAAAAATAAATAGTAATAATAAAAGATACATTTGCTTGATGTTAATGTCGAAAAATATTGTGTCTTAAATAGTTGCAGATTTTAGACTGTAAAACAAAAAATCTTTCCTGCATAATATTATTTTGAATGAAGTAGACAACGCTTCGTTACGGTTCACGTTGCAGTTAATTTTTCAACGCTACAGTTAATGTAAGTACATAAACAATTTCCTTACCTTTTTTTCGACCGGAAGAACTTTTGGCTGGTGGAAATTTGCCATAGTTTTGTTGTAAATCTTTTTCTTGTTTATTATTTCGATGGCTTGAAGTGAGTCCTAATATGACGAATTCCGCACTTATAGTGGCTATCTTCAGGTATCGTTATGTAGGTTTTAGATAAAATATTTGTCAAATATGATAAACGGCGGCGGCAGATAACTCGATGTTAACACGTCGTTTGCCAGATATTTCTACCTAATTTACGTAAATCGTAACATATTTATAACAAGTAGTTTTTTCACAACTGCAAATATTAAAGTTCCATTTGTATAGATTGAGGCAAAAACTATAAAATAACAATGTTAAGCGGTTTAATAAATACAATTATACAATAATAATTTATAAACGAATACTATAAAGAATTGAGAACTATACTATAATTAACAATAAGTACCTAGAAAATTGTAATAAAAGATAAAAGAGTAAAATAATTGTTTTGCGGGTTCAATATGGCTTTTGGATGACGCGTCGCTTGCCCGGAGCGGTGTCCGCTGCGCCGGCGCGCGCGGGACATTTAAAATAATTACAAGCCATCGGAGAGATGTAACAGCCGGTGTTTTGAGACCATTACTTATTTTTTAATTCCGAAAAATTGTTTTAAAAGCACACACTTAGAGCCTATTGACGCATGGCAGACAATAAATGAAATTTGTACAATTTTTGTGTAATGCTTTTTTATGTTAGTTTAGTTGTTAAAATATCGAGGTATCTATATATCTATGTTTTGAATAATTTAGAAAATTAGGTTAAAACATAAATATATAAATAAGCGAATACTAATAAAAATTGGTAATTATACTGATGATGCTAAGAAATCAAGGTGAATTAGGCGGATCTTTCTTTTTCATGTATGAAGTTAGCTTTTTACATGGTGGACAAATTTCTTCTTTCCATTTTTTTTATTTTTTCAATAATAATTCTAAGATATGGATGCAATATCATTTTATATTGTATACTGTTTTCTGCTAATAAAACAGGTAAATAGATCTAAATGCAACTTAATGGCGATATTAAAAAGCAAGTGCTACTTGTGGTAATGTTGGTTTCATCATAAAAAAAAGAAAAATGTAAGTACATTACGGTATGTGTTTAAAGCACACATATTCATATAAATATACACAGCAGATCGCTTAAGTTAACACGAAATTAAACATTCCGGTCGGCGATAGCGCGAGGAGGTGCGCTAAAGCAATACAAAATCAAGCGGTCGGTTTAATTTAAATCAGTGCTCGTAGTTTTTGCACCCCCGACCGCATTCTCACAGCGGCGAGACTGCATGCACTTCAATTCTGATTGGATCATTACCGAGTTCATCATACCCCGTGCGATCCGCCGCAGAGAGCGTCTCCCCGCGCTCTCCGCCCGACCCGTCTTCGCCCGTCGCCAGACAAACGAGCCAGACCACATCGCACACGAATTATTCCATATCATGATTATTGGAACATTATTGCACTCCGTAACTAACAATTGACATTAGGAAATGCAATTTCATATTGATTTCGTAATCTCGAGCGTCGTTTATTTTTATCAATGCAGCAAATCTATCTATGATTTGCGGCTTACCATCTCGTGGCATGCTTGTTTTCTGCGGCTCCGTGCCCGAAGGGAATGTCATTAAAAGCTCGATGGTGGATTAGGCAGTTTTAAGTCTACAGGCAGAACGGCGGAAATCGGACTTTAGCCGAACAAAGGGTGGGAATAAAGCGAGAAATTATCTTTTCGATGAAATACAAACCGCTAAGGTGGTAATTACACGGTTACAGATGGAGGCGTTGAGTTATCAAAATATAATAATTTTTCACATCGGCCGGAAGGTGTCGTGCGGTCACGTCTCGCGGTCGCAACGCTCGCTGAACGATCTGATTTCGACAGCAGTTTTAGAACAATAATCTAAAGTACTGTTCTCATTAAAAATATCAGTTATAATTCATAAAGATACTATTTTGTACCTTTTCATCATCATTTCACCTACTTATAATCATCGTCGATGTTTTTTGTCTGCTAATGAATATGAGAATAATTAATTTAGTTTGAAGTAAAAGTTTCACTAGTTGCATTATATTATAGTTACGAGGAATGTATCTATTATAAAGTGATGGTACATATTAAATGCCGCATGGAATTGTCTTTATTGTGGTATTTGTCGCGAGTCAACAATACACTCATCACGTTTCTAATAAAAATCTTTCGCTGCACATCTGTTGTGTTGCGCAACCGAGTTTATTATCGTTAATGGACGCTCCTCTTGTCTATGGTATGTCTGATTATTGCGACTTTTGTATTGTTATCAAATACTTTATAAATGTTTATCCATTTTACTTAACGGTAAATGTATTCATAAATGTTTTTATTTAAGATGTTGTAACTGTATTTTAATTATACAAACGAAGCAAAGGTTTCTCTTTTTGTTTTTTATTAATGCAAGATTTATGGTATATAATTAATAATGTATATTAAAGTTAAGTGAATAGTCGATGGTTAGTTTTAAAATCTAAGTTTGTTTTATCAACTAATTTTAATCAATAACTCCAAAATAGCAATAGTATTATTATTGAATGTATTGTAATAGGTTGAATGTGATGAAACATGAGCGTGCAGAGTGAAAAAATTTATTAATTTTGCATAATATTTTTTCTCAACTTTTGAAAACTGGTAAGACGACTTAAACCATTCTTAAATTGTTTCGGTAATGGTAAAATATAACGATTATTACCTTAGCCAATAATCATTACAATCGGATTGTAAAGAATTAAATATAATTCGAATAATCGGTACTGGAGCGATGTACCTTGTGACTTTTAAGAGACAGGACCTATCAAGCCGTTCATTCCCCTGTTTCAAATAAAAATGAACAATGGGTTCAAAGCTTGCTTACTCGTATGCTCGTTATGCGAGTGTTGATTTTTGCGTTCGTAAATACTTTCAACTATACGTAACACTCTGAATGATATGCTCAAGTGGTCATCTTTACTTTACCTGTCGCGAAAGTAACCCAGAATTTATTTACTTCAATAGCGTCGGTCTTAGTCTAGTCCGTTACTTTATAGTCAAAGGATGCAACAAAACAATTGTAGGAGGCGGCGCGGCGCGAGGCGGCCGACAGCGGAGGGCACTCGAGATTTCAATTTAGGACGTGATGATGCGAGTTTTCATTTACATTAGGCTCATGAAATCGATTACATGGGGAACGTCAAAAATCCACGTAATTGCGTTTCGAGTGATAAAGAGAGACAATAATCATAAATTAAAAATAATTTTCAGTGGAAATTTACACTATTATCTTGTAATGGTTAAAACACGGTTCTATTTTGTATTTGACCTAGCTTTTGCTCGCAACTTCGTCCGGGCGGAATAAAAAAAAATCAAGTTGAATAGTTGTAATATTTTATTTAAGACTATGTTCTATATCCGTGCCAAATTTCAATAAGATATGACGAACCGTTGCAGAGTTGTCGTGTAATCAAAATCAACCGTGTATTCTTCCAGACTGTGTTCTAAACATCCAAACATCCATTCTAACATTCGCATTTATAATATTAGTAAGATTATATAAAATTATTATTTGGTATTTTAATGTGTTGTCTATTTTTGTCTAAATGTTTTAACATCTGTGTGGCTAATGACCCCGACAATATGAGAAGACATACTCAAAATCAAAAGAGAAAACATTCATTATGAGCATTAGTTTTATTTACACAATTCACGGACGGTCAATACTTTTTTTGGCATATATGGATTTACTTTGGAATATTTCAGTGTTCAAATTGAAGATACAAACATGTCTTACTTATTGATGCTTACTTTATAAACAGATGCTAGACGTTTTGCTTATAAAATCAATAAAGTAGTTAACGGCGCGCCGCGGCGAGAGAGCGCTTGCTCTCTGCTGCAGACTTCGT